TGTGTGTGTGTGTGTGTGTGTGTGTGTGTGTGTGTGTGTGTGTGTGTGTGTGTGTGTGTGTGTGTGTAATGACTGATATTATTTATTTCATGGCGTATACTGGTGTAATGTTAACAGTGCATCCCATGGCTGATTAAAATCTGCTTGTCTGGACTTCATCACCTTTGACAGGAGCCACAGAGTCTCCACTGTGTTTTACAGTCAGCTACAGACACTCAGTGCTGCATCTCTCTACTGACCTCTTTCATGAATATTCACAACAACTTGAAGTGAAACTTTTAAATTTGGATGGTGTTACCACTGATTTTCAGCCCAGTTCTTGTGTAACTTGGCATACCTCAGCCCTTTCTCCCTTTTTCCCTTTCTTAGTTTCCTGGCATCCACCCTTCCACTGAGACCATTTCTGATGAGGATTTGGTGAAGAGAAGACGGATCTATGACGTGCCAGATGTATCTCTTAAGTCTTTGCTGGATTTTTTTCCTGTTTCTTAAGGACATGACTTTGTGATGCAGATATATTTTTTTAGGTACGTCACTTCTTCTTTTGTCCAGCTTCCTCAACATTTTTAAGGACACACTGCACACCATGTCGAGGTATACCACAAATAGCATATCAGCCAATTTTTCACTAACAGCTCATTGTGAATCACCTTGTTGGCGCAAAAATACTATGTGTCAGGCTGTGCAATAGGGGAGTTTGTAGTGTAGTGCACTTGCTTCTATCATGAAGACTCAAATGGCACTAAATACTAGGAATGACCCAGGTGCATTTTTTGTGCTTGAATGATTCATAGGTCAGTGTTAAGTAGCTTAACAAACAAACAAAAAAGTTTCTCTGAAAATAGTCAGGCAGGATTAAAGGATTAAAGGACTGGACTAAAAATGAGTGAAAAAGCTTCCAATGGACCACCAAGATGGTTCAGTTTGTTGAGAAAGGGACTCATATGTTAAAGGGCTAATATAAGGGCCCTGGTTTGATTCTACCTCAGGCAACTACCTGTATCATTGTGTGACGATCATATTATATTATAAATACCAATTCTTTTGTGTTTCAAATGCATTGTGGCCCTTGCAAATGTGATGATACATTCTCTGTGCGTTTATTCCCCACAGAACCTTTGCTCAATAGCATAAAACTATAAGGAAGTCTAGCTCCTACAGTAATCTAGAAGTCTAGAAACAAAACACAGTTGTGCAGTAGTACGTGTCCTTGTTACATACTCTGGAAATCAGTGCTGTTTATGCTAGCTGAACCCCCTCCTCTCTGTGATACTCTAAAATCAATGTACAAATGTGATGGAACTTGTTATACTGTATATATGAAAAGTGTCCTTTAGTGGGAATCAGTGCTAACCCCTTAGCTAGGAAGCTCTCTCTTTCAGGTAGGAATACAAAGTTAGCACAATGCAACCTTATAAATGTGAAAACTTTTTTTAAATTATGGACAATAAATCATTACTGCATATGCTAAATCCATATATTATTGTGACAATGCCAAAGTCATAACAAGGTATGTAAAAATACACGACTTTGTATTTTCAATTACCTGTCTGTTTATATGTTCCGGAAATTATCCTTTCAGCTGAAGGTTTCATAACCTTCAGCTTCATTCTTTTACATTTTTTATTTCATTTTATTTGTTTTTACATTCATCACTTGAAATCCAATCTTTCAGTTTAGAAAAAAATTGTGCCATTGTGAGGGTTCGAGGTTGTTAGAGATTAAAATCACCTAAATTGGATTTGCGAGGTCTTTATATGATGACGGTGGTATGAAATAACAAGCCATCTCCATGTTGTGTCTCACCTCATAGACATTGAACTGGTTCTGCCCCCGAGACAGCTCTCTGTAACTGGTGGTGAACTCGCCGATGAAGTCATGGCTACAGCAGACAGCACCCACACAGAAAAGCAAGCAGGAACACAATTTTTTTTTACATAAATCGTTTTTTTCATCTGAGCTACAGAGCTATATATTTTTTTCTTTCTTAATAACTGTCAAATATGGAATTGTTCCTATTAATCTCCAAATCAGGCCTATCTGTCCTTGCAGCATAAGTTTTGTAGCACATTGTGTCAAAACCCCTCAAGCTCTTCACCACCAAGTTTGTCTCACAGACTGTAAACAAGACATTTCACTCCCTTCTAACACGAGGGATCAGTGTCTGAAGGTGTAGTGAGTGCTTATCTGCGAATGCTCTTACCTTCCATCTCGATCCCAGTCATAGACGTCTACCTTCACAGTTCTGAAACAGACAAGCACATATTATTTTTGAAGGCCGTGGGTTTTTTGTGAGAAACTTGAACCTCAAGTTTTACGCCATCATATCAGGAGCAGATAGAGCTGATTTCAATTTCAGATTTCAGAGAAAAAATGAATAGAAATTTCCACATATAACCTTGGAAGCATCATCTCAGCTTCATGAACAGCCAAATGTGCTGCATGTTGTTTGGCACCACAGCTAGCAGAGAGCTGCTTATTTATGATCTGCATGGAGCCAATGACATTTTCCATTCAGTTGGTTGTTATGGCACCCTCCTTTTCACAACTAGGACAAATAGTCAGTTCCCAGTAAATTGCAGTTTTCACATTCAGTGAATGATTAAAACTAGTTGTGGTGACCAACTGGTCGTCCAGAGGTTGTTGGTTTCCATTACGAAGTAACTGCACAGGTCTCCCTGTCTCCAAACAACAGCAGTGTCATTTATAACCTCAGATTATTCACACATTTCAAACTGTCTCAGTAAGTCTGCACCAATGAATGAAACTCAACTGGTTGCCGACCTTTTGTATCCTTGTTATAGTCCTATAGAAAAGCAAGTGCCTGTGTCATTCTTCGTAAGTGCCTTGCTGAATGGTGTTGGTGGCCATGGTCCTCCAAGGTGCTCTCTCAGTCAAACAGTGCAGGAACATATTCGAGGTTTTCTTTTTCCAGTCTGGGTTTCTCTTCTTCTGCCTTTGCTTCTCTTGCCTTAGATTTTTCCACATGTACAAAGTCATAGTCAAAGTCGCTTCTCATTATGTGTCCAAAGAATCTTGCTTTCTGACATTTTTACATAGACATTTTCTGGTCTTTGCTCTTTTTGAAAAGCTCTTCAATAGTCAGTCTTTCCATGTATGACATTCTCATCATCTGCTGACGAACCACTTCTCTGCTGCCTTAACCTCCTATGACCTGGCATCCACATATGTGGACATCACATTTTGGGTTGTCTAGACCAAAATACACAATTATGCTCTACAAGGGCCTGATATCCACTTACGAGGACATTCCACTGTCCTATCGAAATTTAAAACAAATGTCCTCATATGTGGATCTGATTTTTCTCAGAAACAAAAATCAGGTAAAACAAATCAGGTAATTCTTTGTTTTTACATTCATCAGGTCCCAATCAGTCCAAATAGCAAAGAGAAGTTAAAAATGCATGCCATGAAAGAGTTCGGGTCTTAGGAAGTTAATGGTGTCTACAGTTTTCTTATTTATTGTCCCAGCTCCATTTCCATACATGAAGATATATATATAGTCATCAAGGAATCACTTTGACTTGAAGGAAATTTATCAATCATCTAAAATCTTTGCTAAGTCAAAGAAAGCTTTTTTTGACTTTGCAATCCAAATAATTTGAACTTATCAACTTGTTGTAATATGGAATTCTTCACTCTGATTTTAAATGTGGAAATGTCGATTCTTGAGTTTTCCTTGTAGTCACGAACAGTCCCACTTTTACGACCATTCATTTACGTCTATGACTGTTTTCTGCAGGTTTTCTTCAGATGTTGAAATGTTTATAGAATCAGTTACTAATATGTTGCACTTAAATTGCAGTCTTGCAATAAATATATAACTATTTGGAATTTCTGTTTTAAATGTATGAAGTCCTGGCTGGACTGCTTAATGTGAATTTCCGTGTTTTTGACATACTGTCACAAACAGGCATGTAACTGCCAATTTCACCCCATTAAGTCACAAATTGTTAAAAGACTGATAGCCAATGACTCCATCTAATTCCAGTTTTATCTCCGTCCTAACAAAGCAAAGTCCCTTTGAAGACTGCAAATGACTGCAAATGGTCTCAGATCTGTTCTCTGTCTTTGAAGAAAAATATTTTAAAGGCAACAAGATTGAAAGTTTGTTGCACATGATCACAACAATTTTGTTTGTGCTGTGGTCTCCAACCAGCCTTTCCTCAATAGCATTAGCTGTAGCATTAGCATTACAGCAATAGCTGTAGCATTACATACAGCTAGAAAGTCTCAAATATTGATAAACATCACAAAACGTTATATATAAATCAACCGGCTTAAAGTGGTTCAAATATAAAATGTGATGAATTCACAAAAATCTGTCAGATTTATGACAGGAGTCCTTGTTATAGCAACGGTGGCACTGTGCATTTCTGTAGTCAGTGGCTTAACAAATGCTCAGCATGGTCCAGCATGACTGAATATGTAACACAGGGCTGTCTTCAAACTAGGTCAGTCTCAATAACACCAGTGCTGGTCCCTGGGACACCACGACCGACTGCTGGCATTATTCTGACCGCCCCAGCAACAGGCGATGTCATCCACTTAAAAGTCTATCTGTGCCCGATTGTTCTTACTTTACCCAGAGAAAACAAATAGCTTACAACATGGAAGATCTCTGAAGGTTTCTAAATAGTCATAAAATACCTCGATAATAAATTTGATCATGTTTTCTGACCTGTCATAGTCACCATTGCAGAGAGCTCTAACAGGAATGGTGAAGGACTGCCACACTGGGTTCAGTGTGTTCTTGATCACCTCTGTCTTGTGGCAGATGGTGAACCTGCAAGCAAAAAAAATCAGCCATGAGGAACAAAAAGGGAAAGAACATTTATACTGCTCCTTTTGTACCAGTGAAGATCCCCCCACTAATCTCCCATTCTTTCCTCTGCAATTGAGCAAAAGGCATTGTAAGCTTTTATATTTTTTCTGTCTGCTTAAGTATATCCAGAGGATATAACAGAAGAGTTTTATTTTCTTCTCCTTCCTGTTTTTTATTTTATTACTACAAAAATCTCTCCAAGGCACAGCAGTCGAAGCGATCTAAAAACTTAAACAAATGTGACTTCTGGTGGAACTCGAGTCAGAAGTGTACGTGCAGCAAAGTTGATTTGTATGGAAAATAAGTGTGTGAACCAGATGTGACAATGGGTATTATTAAATGTGGTCTTCATATGAAACACCTTCACAGAACACCTTCCATAACCTTTCTTTTACTAATAATGTGTTTGTGTGCTGTTTCACAGTTGAAAGTAGCACTTATTGAGTGCTTTCTGCTACACAGCACCACTTGGGAATAAGTACTGGAAGCGGTTTGGAGCAACAGTCATTATTTCGCAGCCCCACAGGCTGAAGAGTGTTAAATTTTGTAAATGAAATGATGTCAGATCATTGCTGATGTCTTTCCTCCTTACCAGTGCATTAACACACACTTGAAAACTCCAGAGCTCCAAAATGACAAAACTTCTGCTTTTATATGGTTGCTCATGCTCACATAACCACGTTGCCACCACCTGGCTACTTAGACTCTTAATTCTTATGGAAACACTAAGGGTGTAGTTAGTTTTTTACACACTACTTCCATATTTTGAATTCAGTTCAATTCAATTTTATTTATATAGCCCCAAATCACAACAACAGTTGCCTCATGGCACTTTATATTTTAAGGCAGACACTACAATAGTACATACAGAAAAAAAACCCATGACCCCCCTATGAGCAAGCACTTTGGCGACAGTGGGAAGGAAAAACTCCCTTTTAACAGGAAGAAAGGGAGGGGCAGCCATATGTAATGACCTGTTGGGGTGAGAGAAGGAAGACGGTAAAAGTCATGCTGTGGAATAGAGCCAGAGATTTTGGCGTAGAATTGTTAAGAATAACATCACGGTATAAGATGCCATGTATTACTGTTCATTACTGAGGTTGTATATACGTAATAATAATATGTCCTGGAATTTAAAACTTTACAATCTCAAATAGGATGTGATTTTTTTGCTAATCAGAGATTTGTACCCCTATACATACATGCATATTAGGGGTGCAACGATACTCGTATCGATATTGAACCGTTCGATACAGTGCTTT